ACGCGTGGTTTGCTTGGTTCACCAAACGCGTGGTTTGCTTGGTCCAAAATATATTTACTTGATTTGTAACAAATCACAGTTACGGAGATACCTTGCTGTCGGTGCTAGATTTGCACACCTCCCTCTGAGCCAAGGAGTTTTAGGTTGCGTGGAGACCGCTTTGCCAGAAAGAAGTTATTCGGCAATGCAAATTGAAGTCCCACCAGCAATCGGAGACGGCAGGGCAGTGTCGCGACGGGTGTAGACTGCTGTATTTCAACGGCCGCCCAAAGTCGTGGTGCCTCAGTAGTGCCGATGGAAAAGTGCCACTGCCTGGTACAGCGCCGTTATATCTCACGGTACAGACGAAATCCGCGGTATCGCCTGTACCGTTTGTTGCGCCGGTTCGGGCTCCTACTCGGTGAACACACACATCCCACACACCACAACCCCACGGCAAATCCACTCATAACCAAACACTGCCACCGTCATGTTGATCTGCCCTTATCCATTTCTTTGAATGGACTAAACTTGCCCGCATCAAACGTTGCAGGCGCGCGTCCAATGCTACTCCTTGGGTCTTATCTTCTACCTCTGGTCCAAGCCGCACTACCGCAATGCCTCCTTCAAAGAGGTGGGTTCGCACGGGATTCATATATTCCGAACTGTGTATCCGCAAGTCCTTACCGCAATAAAATGCTCACATGCACAAAGTCTGCGCTAACGCGCTCGTCATATGGGTGATGGTCAGGACATGTTTAAGAACTTGAGGAATGTGGCAATCCCTGGAACCGGCATCCCTCTGAGCTTTTACTGCTCCTTCAAAGCAATGGTTTACATCTTCATCTTGGTCGTCAACCCTGCCATCTGCTTCATGGCGGCACTCAACCTGCAACGAAAACATGGCAGGTGCGATACGATCAAAGCAGGTGCGCAATATTTGGCGAAGAGATCAAACTCGAAACATGTAGTTCGGAAGCTTCGTAGCGATCTGTGCGCCATGGTCTTGCGTCACTTTTTCTCCGCAGAATAGTCCGGCTATGTTTCTTTTGACCAAGGCAATGGTTACCTTTCATTCACGTTCATACTCAACTAGTGTGCAGCGCTCTAGCTGTGTTTGTGTTGAAAGGTAACTTTGTTCGCTCTGAAACACTCAGTGTGTTGGGGTGTGGGACCGTGTGGCAGGTTACGTTCCCTCGCTTGCGGCAAGCACGACAGCAACACACACGAGCTGGTAGTATTATGTACCGCAAGCTGCTGAAGGCAGGTTGGCAAGATGTTGTATGTTGCTCTCCGCTTCCTTACAGTATCAAGATTTGGGTTTTCTGTGCAGCTGCGTCGCCCGTTGGTCTAAATAAGTCTTGTCTTTGTGTGTTGTTTCGCAAACGCCGGAAACAGGCCGTGGGCACGAGCCTATATCGAACAGCTCCTTTGCCCTCAAGACTGGTTCAGTTTCTGGCGTCTCAACTGCCGCTTGGCCAGCTACCATGCTCTTGTGACTGGAAGTGAAGGTTACCGGCAAGAGGACAAGGTGAGTCACTACGTAGCGTAACTACGCCCGTCGTCCTATGTGAATGGCACGGCCCTTTGACTGCTGTGTTGCACGCATACATACGCAGTGTAGAGCTCTCGTCCACGGACGGTGGTACTTGCGTGTTCGAAAGAATAGTAGGTGCTGTAGTGCCCTCGGGGCTTGTGCGGCCAAGGTAGAGGTCTGATATCAGACCACCTGTGTCAACTATTGTTTTGATACGCAACGCTCCCGTTCAGATGGCGATCTGGTGTGGCACTATTTTTTCAAGTACAGGCAGCGATAGCGTTTGTGATAACACGCGTTGCTGTTGTGTTTTTGTGGCCCCCGAACGACCTTGCCTCGTGTGTGGACAGTGGACCTTCCTCAGGGATGGCAAGAGCAAGGGGGTGCCGATTTCCCCGTTTCTCGACATACCGGCAGTCGTGATTAAGGACAAAAACGAAGAGGTGAGAAAATGCGCGTGGTATGCATGCATATCCGATTGAAGGCTCCAGTGACGTACGTGCTGTATATCTTGGCCTCGTGGTGTCTGTTTCAAGCCGTCGTCTGTTTCGAACTTTCTAAACATAGGGCGGGATGGGGCTTTACTTCTTCAAGAACGCCACAGCAGGAGGGGACTGGATCATTCAGGAGAGGCTTGACAATGATGAGTTTGTAACATCACTCCTACCTGATAAGGCCCCTTTATCCACGATGAGGGTCATCAGCGCGTCCAGGTGAGATCAGTTTCGATTGGGGATCACCGAGGCCCAGTTCATGAACAAGTGAAAAGAGTGCGCAAGGCTACCATTCCAATAGACGCGTGGTGGATTTTGCTGGTCGCCGCTGAGGTGTTAATTAGTTTGGTCGAAAGCGGGTTAACAGCATCTCAGCCTTGGGTGGATATAGCCGGCGTCCACAAGCTTGTCGTTAGCCTCGCCTTTTTGGGTTGTTGAAGCGATGACGTGGTAGGTCAAGGTATTTTTGGATAGGGTTCTCCCGCGACTGGCGAATTCGTTCTGAAGGTGGCGCCGGTTAGCGATGACTTATGTGCTGAAGCCTGTCGAATTTGTCTGCGTTATTCGCGAACTGCGACAGGTGGTGGCTTCAGAAGCGGCAGGGAAAGATTCCAGGGCCAAGCTGTGTCGATTCGCTCTCATGCGTTTTTCGTGCGGGGCGCCAAGACGCTGACACAGACCACTCATCAATTCTCTTCGACGTCGACGCGAGCACAGGCACGCTACTGAAGGGCACTACCAACGCTCACTGGTATGAGCTTGGCCCAACCAAGATGTTCAACACCCCTTGGGTATCTACTCACGATGTAACGCATCACCCGGACAACAACAAGTGAGTTGGGGATGTTGCTGTCGGTTACATCTGCCTCGTACATTTTTGCACGTAGACACGCTTTGTGGTCGCTTTCCCATATAACGCATTTACTGCGTCGACTTAACCAATGGTGATCTTCAGGTTGATCACGGGCGAAGTGATTCCAGACATTCAGGGCAAGCTGGACCTTGTTGCCGACGCCCATTTCAAGCTGCTACCGGACGTCCCGTTGGTAGGCTGGGACGTGGCTCTCACGACTAAGGGCGTGTATCTCCTCGAGGTAAATCTGTCGTGCAACTTCTTCAGGGGCTCCTTCAGCTTGGGACCGTACGTGCAGTTCGTGCACGACTACTTCGTAGCGCTCGAGGAAGAAAGGGGGACGCATGGCAAGATAGAGTAGACCATGGGTTCAAGGGCTCCACCACGTGGTAAGCTTTCTGCTGACGGTATTCAATGAAGCCTTGGTTTCGACCATCATTTGAGGCCCTGCAACCGGAGACGTCGTCAACCCATGGAGGGCATGTTCATCCTTTGTCTCCTTCTTTAGACAATCTCCTTCTTAGCACAAAGCAGTCCGGAGGGTCGATACGCTTGTAGTAGTTCGCGATCGTCTCCTCGACATTGAATCCGTGCTCCTGCAAACGGGTCATTGGAATGTGTGGAGAAAAGAGCAGCGATAATCTGCTTTAACCCTTGATTGGAGAAGCATTGCATTATTGGCTTCGGGCCATGTTGCCGGTCGCTTGGATTGCTTCCGTCGCTGAGGGGCGGTAACGGGTACAGGAAAGGGAAAGGGTATTGGTGAGGGTTTGAGCTCCAAGCGGTGGAGACAGGGAAGAGACCGAGAGTATTGGTAAGAGTTCACGGGTTGCTGTGTGTTTAGGTACCTTGTGCCATCCGTCGGGTCCAACTGACGCGGACGCCTTCCGTGGTGGGAGGCTAATTACCCAACAGGGCTGATACGAGCAATACGAGCAATCCAACAGGATTGAAGGACCCAGGCGAATCAGCACGAAACACGATAATATGAACCAGAAGAAAATGAAGAAAACCCCTTACGGATACAGACTTCGCAGGTGACAAAGGAGATCGATGAACAGAGCCCACCGCTCCTACTCGACAGGTGAGGCCCAGCCAAATGAAACAAAACAATAAAACAGTGGAACAAACAAAAAGGCGACCGAGCTATCCTCGCGGGTTTTTCGTGGCAATCCTTGTAAATCTTCGTTCGGACCATGTGGGGCGTCCATGGCACCTAGTGGAGTTTCACATGACTCCGAACCTTCCGCTGGTGCTATTACATATGGGTCATTTCCGACTTACGTTCTTCGCTCTTATTGACGTCACTCGCTTGTGTATGAAGGCACGTGTGGAGATCACCTTAATGGCGGACCAAAAGTAGATTTTCGAACTCGTGTAATCACGCAGGAGATTGTAAAGAAGTGAATCGCCGCCAACCGGTCGGGTTCCGGTTACCCTAAGAATCCTTCCTGACTAGCAACCAAGAAGACTCAAATGGGGGTGGGTAATGTGGGGATCACCTTGATAAAGGCTACGATCGCCCAACGTCCGTCGAGAACGATTCCCTCTTTTCACACACATGCTGAATATTCGTTTGAACGAAAGCCTTGTTCCGAGCTACGAAATCCGACCCAAAACGCTCGTGTGCTACTACGAGTCGATGTCCTGGCCCACCATATGTCGTTTATTTGACCAAAACAATGTGGTGGACGGGTCAAGCAATTACAACATGTCAGGGCAGACATAATGTATCTTGTCAATTTTGTCACACAATGTCATGTTAAGTTGAAGAGATATGTTTATTGAATTGCCAGCAAGGATTTCAACGGTTGAGTGAGCATCGGGGAGAATAGAGGCAAGGAGACGTGGGTTTTACGGATCCTCTGACTATTCTCAACTAGTTGTGAACAACGCTCGAGTGTGTCGACGCTCCGAATTAGCACATAAATCACGCAAGATTGTAAGGACCAACAACCATGCATTAGTCCAACACTCCAGAGACACACATCTCCTGCCACTTCACCTTGTAAAATCCAACTGCTTCGTCGTTATTTGTCTGCACGTGTAGGTACACTTCTTTGACCGAAGGGTGACGTGGTAGGCTTTCCAGTACTCGCCGCAGCAGATGGGTCCCGATGTTGCGTCGTCGCCACGTTGCAAGTACGCCCAGAGTCATGATGTACAGCGAATCGTGTCCTCCTGGCGACTTTGAGGGCTCAATTCGACAGCAAACTGCTCCAACGGCCACGTTGTCAACGTACACTGAAAACAGTCAATGGCACGAGGGACCGTAGTAAGCCCAGAGTAAACTCTGGCGACTAGTTGAACATGCAGTATCCGCACCCTTATCGTCCGAGAATTATTTTCGGGCACACGACCCTGTTTCAGTTTACCCTTTGAACTACACACATTTCCCCGAGCGCTGCACCACCTTCGCAACCTGCCGACAGTACCCGCACAACGGTCCAGGACTTCCAATTTCCAGACGGATATACTGTAGGTCGTCGCTACAATAGCGAGGATCTGGAAGTGTGGTGAGGGGGGAAACATGCCTCCGTACTGTCCGCTTCGGAAACACTTGAGTGTTGGGGGTATACCAGGCCCTTTCGAGAGCAGAGGGATGTGTGCAAAAGCAATGCACAACGGAGCTCAGGTCCCTGCTCGATTTCGAGGCACTGTCAGCTCACCTTACGCTACTGTAGAGCATGATCATCGATGTTCGTTCTGAATTGCGGCACGTTTTCCTTCCCATCAACACTGCGGCATATCAGCGTCAAATCATTTGCCCCGTTTTATTCGCGACTCCGGAATGTTTCACCGAAAATCGATTAAATTGTTGAGTGACGCATCGGCAGCTTCTTGCTTTACACTAGCGAGCGGAAGGCGGAGATATCTGGGTGTACAGAGTTTGGGCCATGCACGGCGAAGTCTCGTGTGCATGTCTTCTCACCCATCCCACACGTCTTACTTTTGAAATTTACCCTCACAATTTGCTTTTCCTAAACAACCAAAACAACGCAACTCCGTATTATGATTGTTGTCGCCCCATACATCAAGGATCCCTCATAAGCGTCCTGCCCACTGCAAGGTCTTGCTTGTCTGAATGGAGGTTTATCATCATTTCCGCGGATTACCGCAGGCCAGGGCAATATTCTTCATGATTCGTCCAGCTTGCCCGGTCGCGCAGGTCGTTGAGCTGGCAATATATTGCTGTCTAGATTAAGGGTTAGTATCATTCTAGAGTGAAAAATTCTGCATGGGCGTGAGTTAACACAGCGAGAGGGAAGGAACCGAAGTAACTCCTAACCCGTTTCTCGTTAACCCTTACGTGACTGGGTTAATTTGAATTCCTTGTTTTTTTTTTGCACAACTGGCTCTCCTCTGCGGTCAAAGGCCTTTGCATGTACACCCACAAATCACGGCGGCAAGGATGGTGCAGCAGCGAGTCCATGTGTGGCGCTCACAGGGATGGGGGCGCGGTAGACGTAATGGTGACGAACAGAAGTGCAGTAGTACTGCTGTTGTACAGAAGTAGCAGTTACGCGGAGAAAAATATACAGAACAAGTTGTTTCTGAGTAGGTGTGCATGCCTGTCTCTGACAGCAACCATCCGCACAGAGGATGTACCTGTGCAAGCAATACCTGTTGGCACATCTTC